GGGTGGTGGGAAGGGGGGGGGCGGGTTGGCATTATGTTTAAAGCAAAGGACTAGATGAATGGGATTGTATATGTAGTGCTGCTACTAAGTTTGAGCCTGGAAACGTTCCTTTTCTTATTTGCCCGAGTGCTGCTTCTGGAGTGGGGCTAATATTTATCTGGCAATGGAGTTTTGGAAAATGAGCTTATGAATATTTGCAAAGTGCTTGCTGAGATCTGCTCTATAACACCTTATTTTGGGGTGTTTCTTCCTGCAAAGCTCCTAGTTTTCTTTCTCTTTGTACTCCCCTATCTCTCCTGTACATGTAAGCTGAAATAAGGAACTGAGCTTTTAGAGCTGTTGCCTGCCCTGCTGGTCAGTCTTCTGACTCCCATTCCTAGTGTAAAAAGTAACATAACTATTGGACAGCATCTGTCTGCCCCATCCTGTGGCTGGGGCTGTTGTTAAACTCTGGAAGGCTGTGTTTCAGCACCTGCTGTGATCTGAAATGATCAGACCTATTTATCCAAGCTCTTTCTTCTGCACAGGGTGCAATCCTCACAACAATGCTGGTGTCACGGAATTTTTCAGGTAAGTTCTCCATATTGTCATCCCTTCCCCCCCCTTATTGTACATCAGTCGGGATGCATTTTAATCCTTTGGAGAGAAGAGGGAATTCAAACCATTAGCACTGCATGGTATTTTTGTCAACGCAGTGGTCAACATGGAAAAAAGGTAAGATACATAGCTACAGTCTGGCACAAGACAGGAATTCAGTCCATTACCTGAGGCTTTATTGCTTGGGACATTTTAGTGAGTCTCTTAGCATTTTCCTTAGGAGCTTCAGTTGTCAGGTACTATACGTCTGCAGTAGTGCTTCCTTCAGACCTGAAAAAATGCTTCTGCTATGGGCAAGTAATGGCATTGCTGTCATGACAGCAAATAGCTATTGTGGCTTATTTGACTCAACCAGCAGTGGTATAAAAAAGGAGTGTCAAACATACCACTCATGGAGGTGGATCATCCAGACTGCAGTGTTTCACTCTAGCCACCTGACTCACCTCCAGATCAGGCCAGCAAGGCTTTTCACCACAACCCCCAGAGCCACCATGCTAGTGTGGCCAACACCTCACGGGTTACCACTACCCCGCTCTTTACAGACCACCAAACTTCCAGTTTCTGATCACCATTCAGGAACCAAACCTGTGGCAGGTTGGTGAGCAGTAGTGGTATTAACTCCCACGTGCCTGCTATGCTGACACAGCAGTTTTGGCAGCTGCAGCAGAAAACCCCACAGGCCAGATCCTGAAGTGGATTATCTGGCCTGTGAGAAGCCCTACAGCCAGGATATAGCCTGCCAGCTTGTTTGAGTTTGACACTGCTGATCCAAAGCATGAGAGTTGTTGAGATTTTCCTTCTTGATGTCTGAACTGATATTCATCCTTTTAGACTTTGCAGTGCTTAGCATGACTCCAAACTGAGAATACTGTGTGGTACACTTGCTGAAAACAGCCAAACAAGGAAATCAGATGAGGCTTTTCTGAAAGATATGTATGGTTGCTGGGTTGTGTTTTCATTAACATTCATTCCCATCTGGCATTATTTTTTCAGTGGGTGGTTTCCCTTTGTACATGTGCCTGCCAGTATTTGGGTCTACTCACAATCCTTTAGCTGAAGCACGTCAAATTCTGCAATGGCCCTGGGCCACATCTGGACTGTGGGGGCTGGATCCAGTCAAAGGATCAGGGGCAGCCAGGCTAGGTGTTGGTGGGGCATCTATCTAGGACCAAGCTTGCTACTGATGGCCACAGCCAGTGGAGCCAAAGGACCCTGAATTCTGTGGCAGGCCACACCACCAGTTTCCAAAGATAGTGGGTAGAGCGGCTTCATGATTCAGATGTTTGACACCCTTGCTTTAGCCCTCTTGGCTGTGTTTTCCATCTTCAGAATGCAGTGGTTGCACTGTAATACATTCCCTAAGCAAGGTTTTGCTGTGCCTACCTACACTTACTGAGTCTTCCGTTGGAGTATAATTTGGACATGAATGACTGGTGCCTCCTGCGACTGGGGGGGGGCACCATGGCAAGGAGTGGGGAGTGCCCACAACAGCTGCTGTCAGCTGTGTTGGTGGCAAGTGGGGGGCAGGCGGCAACCACCCACAGAAGCCAGCAGCAGCTTTGGCAACAGCCAATCTCGGGGGAGGGGGGGCGGTGGGCGGCACATGCCCCCGCCCCGTGCGTTGCCTATGAATTTGGGCATGGTTAATGAGAAGTAACAGTAACATAACCTCCTTCATTCCCCATTTCCTTTTACTGCATCCTTTAATGGTGGGCACTGAAATGCATTTTCCATGCTATAATGCAGAAAACTTCTAAGAGAAGCCTCCCATGACATGATTAACATGGGGCTTGAAGTGCGTGCATACACAAGCATTCTTTTAGGACAGGGGTTGTCAACTGGGGTTATGTGTACACCCAGAGGTACTTGAGAAGGCCCTAGGGGGTATGCAGGCACAGAGCACCGCCAAGCACCATCCCCTGCTGCCATACAGGCACTACCCACCCAGCCGGATGCAGAGAGCGGCAGAACCTCGCATGCGGCAGCTGCCACCGCTCAGCATTCAATTGCGCACCCCCTCCCCCCGGCTCTGTGTTCAGCCTCATGCCACCACCACCACCCCACCCCCCACACACACACACTCCATATCTGGCTACATGCCACCCCCACCTTGCTCCATGTCCGACAGCTGGGGTATGCTGCTCCGCATCTGGCTGCCAGGGGTACACTGATCCAAAAAGATTGAAAACCCCTGTTTGGGGAAATCCAGGTGGCCCCTTAGTTTAGCTGGAATGTGCGTAATTCAAGTGATGTTACATTCAATGGAAGAACTGAAAGCTATTCCAGTAACTGCAGTGGGGCAGCCCGCAGGAACCTGAGAATTGTTGGTTCCTTTTGCAAATTGAACCTATGCAAGCATGTCAGGGCCATGCAGAAACTAATCTGGCTGTGGCAACACTTCTTTTGGTTGTGGTCCTTTAATTGTCAGGGAAACAGAGTTATTCTGCCCCATGAAATTGCCTCTGTATAGTCAGTTCAGTGATAGGAACTCAGAGCCATACTTTGTGATCCTAGAATAATCCTAAAGCAGATGAATCCTTAACAATGAACCATGAATCCAGTGTGTTAGTCAAAGTTATAAAAAAGTTCTGTCTAACTTTTTCAGGAGCAGATAGCCTTCAATCTGTTTCTCTCCAGTTGATCACACAGCTAATTTTATTTCACATACTCCCATTCTGATAATGTTTTTGATCATTGTCTAAATGATAGTGGATGAATATTTTAATAAGATTAATGCCATCATCCACTTCTGATGAAATGGGGGAAGCTTTAGGATTTGGTGTAGTGGTCTTCAGCACATTGGGTATGTGCAGTGCATGGGAGAAGGGTGTACTTTTTAATGTGTTTTAGCCAGTGCTAGACCTAGAGATTAGAAATGTGTAGAAAAGGCTTGCTTTGCTCATTTTGCTGTATCTTGGGGTCAGAGTGTTTTAATCCAAACTTTTCAGTTTGTGACTAAGAGGAGAAGGGAACTTTTTTTGATCCATGCTGAGCATACAGTTCCTGTACCATTAAGTTCTTCCCCATAATAAGCAGTGCTCAAAGGCATACTTCCAGAAGTCGTCAAAAAAATGCTGCAAATCTAGATGCATGTTATAAGTGACTTTGTGTAGTAGCTATTTCTATCCCATTGGTGTTTACTGGGATGAGAGGGCTCCATAAAACTAAAGTTCTTTGTGGGAGTGATATAATCTGAGAATGTTTTCAGAGCTGTTCAGAGTTAACTCAGTGCCATTGAAACTTGTGTTATGAGCAGACTTACAAATCTGAAACCTCATCTGCTTTGTGGTTATACTTTTGTTCTTGCTTCACCTATTAAGATGATTATTAAGATATTATGTATGCAACATCCGAGCCCTGCAGAATTTTTACCTGGGTTTGTATAGTTTGTTTGGCTGTTATGGTTGGGCCTGGGCTGTATCTCCTGCAAGGTTCATCTGAATTTACTGAGTTGAGAGGAGTCTCCTGTGGTTCAGTGGTAAAATCTTTTGTCTGCTACACAGGAGACCCAGGTTCAATTCCTGGATGCTTATACAAATACAGCCATGGAAGCTCCAATTGTCTGGACCCAGTCTGGCCTTTTGGATTTTGTCTCAGGGGCCTAAATGCGGGGATGGAAGGTCTGGGCAGTCTCCACTCCTCCAAAAACTCCTGCCTGGGCATATGCATCAAAGTTCTGGGTGACCAGAAGAATCAATGGTTGCTAAACTGCATTGAAAAGTGATACCTCTCATTTGAGGGAGGAGGGAAGAGCATGAGCCCGAGTTTCTACCTTCAGATTTTGCAGTCTTTTTCCTCTTCCTTGTTGGTAACAATAAGGGTACTGCAGGGGATTATATGATGATCTTGGATTTTTTAGTTGTTGCAGTCAAGGAAAAGGGATACAAACTCACCAGCCTGCTAGAGGAAGGATAAAGGCGCACTCTTTTTAATATAAAGTACAGTTGATACCTCAAATAATGCTCAAGAGAAGACAGGCTTAGACATAGGATGTAAATGTCATACTGGGTGAGACCAGTGGTTCATCTAGCCCAGTATTCTGCCTCTGGTAGCAGGAGTGGATGCTTTAGAGGGAGACCACTGAACCCAGGTGTATTTAGAGTATTCTAGCTCATGTTTGTTAACTTCCTTGGCATCTGCTGTCATTTAGTTTAGAGATGCCGAAGGATACATCCTTGACTGTTCTGTTTAAAAGCTATTAATAAATCTGTCATCCAGGAATTTCTTATCCTTTTTTTGAACTGTCTCCCTCTACAACCTTCTGTGATAATGAGTTTGATAGGCTAATTATGGGCTGTGTAAAAAGGACTTACTCTTGTTGTTTTTCAAACTGTCTCTTACCAATTTCAGGGGGTGCTGTATAGTTCCAATATTCTGGCACCAGTGAATAACAGTTCCCTATTCATTTTGTCCATACCCTGCATGATTTTTAGACCTCTGTCATATCATTCCTTGGCCTACTACTTTCCAAACTGAAGAGTCCTACACTTTTTAGTCTCTCCTGGTATATGGTAACTACTCCATAACACTGAACATCTTGGTTGCCCTTCTCTGTCCCTTTTCTGATTTTTCTACATCTTTTTTAGACATGTGGGGACCAGAACTGTGCACAGTATTCAAGATGTGTGCACACCATGGATTTGTATAGTAACATGATTGTTTCCAGCTTTTTTTCAATTACCTTGTTAAAGATGGTA